TAAAGGTCCTACCACACGTGGTTTCTTCTTTGCCCTATGATATTGAATATTGTGTAAGTTTGATATGCTTCCCTGAGTTCCACTGAGCTCTTTCCACCCACCTGTGACCTTACAGCTCTAGTTACCATGCAAAACCCTGAAAAAGTATGTGTGGTTCCGCAGCCCAATGAGCACCGGACTGTCAGAGCATTTGCATCCAGTTTTCCCAAAAGACAAGAAACTCTTTCAACCTGCAATAATTTTCTTTCTTTCATTGAATTTGTCTTTTGTCATTTTGTAATATATACAAAATATATAATTTTGAAATATTAACTTCTGGGATGCAAATAGCCGTTTAATTTGTTGATCTTTGTCATTCAACTGAGGTTAACTTTTCTCTAACTACATTAACACACTTTCCTTTTGAAACCTTTCCCCCATTGTCAGCTTCTTGCTATTTCTAATGATGCATTTTGACTGCGTTTATCATGCCGCCGTCATTCTCGGCTTATCTCATCAGAACAAAAATCTCCCTTTTCATTCCATTCAATAGTTTTACCGTTCTCATCTTTGAGGTATTGTTTTGTGGAATGTATGCTCTTACTAAGGTGTGCTGTTTTCCAGGAAGCAATTTTTAGACTACATCATTGGTCCAGAAATTTGCAATCTTTCTTTTTGGTGAAGACCTAACATTAGCTGGACAGGGACTGCCTGTTGCAAAGCTCAGATAGGGCATTTCTTTTGTGCCGGTGTTTCTCTAGAGAGGCCATGTTGGAGTCCTTTCCCCCAGTTCACTAGCTTTTTCTTCCATAATTTCTTCTACTATGCCTCTGTCATGTGGGAGAAGAAGGGTACCCTAAAATGATGAGAGTAACACTCAGTTTGCTGCTCCCAGAGTCTGGAATACTGGAACTCCTAGTAACTTGCTTGGCTTGCCAGTAAAATTCTAAGAGTTTTCCTTGGCTAGTTTTTGGAAGAGTGCCACGTATCATTTTTTTTTTTTTGACAGTTACTGTTGAATGCCAGGTCTAAAGGATTGCTTGTTTACCAGCTTGTGCCTTTATGGGACCCCAGTCAGTAGCCATCAGTGGGAGGAACTATGGGACCCCTGTCACCAGCCATCAGTGGGAGGAGCTATGTCTGCAGTACCTCTTCACATCTGCCATCTCCAAACTGAAAATCCTCACGTAGGAAACTTTTTCACTTCAGAATTTTGAATTCTTTCAGACATCGGAGGGTTTTAGAGGATGTTCTTACTGAATGGACATATTTATGATTATATTACCCGCATGATACTCAGAAAAGTGACACCCTCATCCTGCGCCTGTTACCAACAGCCTTACAACTGTTTTATTTTTCAGCCCCATCAAATATCCCAACTGATAACAGACTTGAAGTTGAGATGGCATGAATTAGAAAACAGCAAAATAACAATTAAAGGTCCTTTAAGAAGTAGTTCTTATAGAAGAGTAGCTTTCACCTTATGATTTGAAGCAGACACAGTTGACTACTGAATCTAGAATGGTCCATTTCCCTCAATATAACACACCAAGAGACAAGAGACAATAGACTCTGGGAAGTTGAAGACATATCCTAATAAAAAAAAAATCAAAATTTAGACTTAAATGTTTTTATACCACTAAAAATATGGATAAATGGTGATTTTTCTTTATTGTAATTAATTGGACAGCAATTCCTTTGTTATTATCCAACCACGAGTGGACATTCTGCTGTTGAACATGTAGACAACATGCCTGGCAACAGAAAAATGCCCCTTATTGTGCAAACTCCTGCTGACAGACAGACCTGAGTCAATATTTGTACATGGTTACCACAAGCCACACAAGAAGAAATGCACCTGGTAACATTTGTCACTTTTAGTGACATTCAAAATTCAGTATTATAGAATATTTTAAACTAAGGCATGTAATACATGTAGGCCATCTTAATCCTACCTAACATCTAACCTGATCATCATTATTAGGAAAAACATGCAAATATATATGTATACATACATATATATGTATATATATATATATATATTGCTGCAATCCCATGACATATAAGCTCTCTGCACACAAAATATATACTTTAACCCATGAGATCTAATATAACAACAGCAACAACAGATATGATCTTGAGACATTGCTAATCACAACTGCATGTAAAACTAACTTTTAAAAATAACTAAACTCCATAAGTATCTATTGGAGTTTTGTAGTTGAGTACATCAGCACCAGCTTCGTTGTCCGTGCTTATCATATTATGAAACATTTCAGAGAAAACGCACATACAACCCTACCCTGATACATTGTCATGATTCTTACAAAGAGGAAGATTTCGTTCTTATGAAAGCAAGATGCCCAAAGAAATAGCAGATTTGTAAGGAAATTAACAAAACTGGATTATGGAACAAAATCATATTTCCTCGTGGACAATCCAATTCATCTGTATTATTTGGCAAAACTGGAGAGCCATGTTCCTCCACCTGAGCTAACGTCTACACACACACACACACACACACACACACACACACACACACACACTTTGAAGATGTGCCTACACATGTGAACCCCACAGGGATGCTGATACACCAGTGGGTGCAAGTCATCTCTGATTATCTGAAGGTGAGCGAGCTAGTCAACTGCACAACTAGCTGCCCCAGGCTCATGGCCACAGGTCCTCAGACAGCAGGGCCCCCTCCCAGCACCGCCCCCTCCCAGCACCGCCCCCTCCCAGCACCACTGCACATGTCTGTCCCATCAGCCAGTGGCTATGCACTTCTCATCCTGCAGTCAGAACCAGGTCATTGGTCCAAGAGAGACGACAGCAAGATCTGTAACTCTATCAAGACAAGCACGTCTCCAATTTAGTAATGAATCCAACGGAAGGGAAATAACCAGACGGAGGCCCACCACTACCAACTCTCCACCCCCTCACTCCAACCCTGTGTCTAAGTTTGCGAAGGGTACAACAGCTAGGAGATCTGAAAGCCAACTAAAACAGAGACTATCAGGGGTGGAATCCAAGCATTGCACCTCAGAATATGTGCTGGGTTTCTCTGTCATACAGAACAAGAGCCTCAGAAAGAAAATGCACAGAAAACGCTGCGTGGATGAAATTTAAAGTTAGCTTATGGAGCAAAGTCAAATATCACAGGTCATCATAGGAATGATGTGACTAACGCTCTAACTTTTAGAAACAAGCACAGCATAGAGATCTTCCCTGTTTGTATCAGATAGACTGTTGGGCCAACGTTGAACTACACCGGGCCTCTTCATTTATAGTCAGTGCCCGGATGCTGCCACAGGTGGGACCAGCAGCACAGCAATCTTGTGGCTTCCAGTTGGAAAATCTTGTTATGCTGCATAGAAATCTTTCAGTGTCAGGCAAATGGCTTTTGGGATTTGAGTCAAGTTGTGCTGTTATCAAAATCATGGAAAAAGAGCAAAGATTGCCATCACACTTGTGGCTAGCCCAGTGTCCGCTAACAGGGGCTGCGTGCAAGACACTGCCATTTCTATTTTCTAAAAGAAATATGGCGATTGTACACAGAGACAAAGACTAAAAGGATATCATTGTACTAAAGAGGTAGCTAACATGTATTTCTAAAGTATTCATTGATATTTCAAAAACGTGATGCTAAATGCCCACAGGAAAGCCTCCTAGCTCCTCCAGGAGCCCTTGTCAACTTTCACCCACAGTGAAAATAAACCGGGGATGTTCTGGCAAGTTCACTTTTGCTAAATAGAGACTGCTAGTGAATGTGATTTCTGAGACACTGATACAGAATACCAAATTTTACTAAACTGACATTTCATTATGATTCCATAAAAAGACTGGGTAAACAGAGATGTGAAAACCATCACAGTGAGCAGAGACTTAGAGAGGAAAGACTGGGTAAACAGAGATGTGAAAACCATCACAGTGAGCAGAGACTTAGAGAGGATGGCTTTGCTCAGGCCCCACAGATTCGAATGTGTGCAGGCACAGAAGCCAACTTCATGCCAACCTGTGGAATATTCCTTTTCTACTCAAATCTACTGAGCAAAGCTCTTTATGTAACAACCTTATTGGGGGATCTCCGCAGTGATCTATAACTAAGATGAAACCCACAGGGGGACACAGCAGCTTCAAGAAGGAAGCCTAGAACCATTGAGGCTACAGCATTGGGAGAGAACAGAGCAGAGCAACAAAAGCTTTATGAACTGGTTATAGGAAATAAATAACAGAGAGCAGTAATTAAAGTAAGTCAGACTCCTGGAGAGTGTGAACTTTTAATAGAAGTAAACTGACAAGTCTGAGACCTCAACATGTCAGAAAAACTGCAAACTAGAATTTAACAAAGCATTACACCTGCTTCTAACCTCTCTCTCTCTCCCCCCCCCGTGTGTTTGAGTGTGTGTGTGTGTGTGTGTGTGTGTGTGTGTGTGTGTGTGTGTACCACTGCACCTGCCTGGCGATGCTAGATTTCCCGAGTATTTGGGGGGAAATTAAAGTAAGCATCTGGTAATAATTCTATTTCATCAGAAACAGATTCACATTGAACTCAGAGAAAAAGCCAGGTTAGGGAAGGACTAAAACTACCTGAGAACTCCTCAGACACGTACTTCAGAAGGTAGGTCTATAAATAGCTGTGCTTGTTATGCACACTGTAAACATAAAATCACCCGCTGGCTGAAGCTGCGATTTAAGCTGAAGCCCCAGGATGAACTCAAAGTCCCACTTGCATATGTTTACAATCAGCACGGGTCTCTTTTCTCTAGTTGCCCAGCAAGGCAAACACCTTCCTTCTACTTAACTCAAAGTCCCCATGCATCAGGCGCAACACTTGGCAATTTCATTGAGAAGCAGCCTTCCCTAAACACACTTGCAAAGCACAGGCAAAAACAAAAACAGAAACAAAAAACCATCAACATCACACAGAAAAAACAGTTCCTTAAGCAAGCTGCTTTTCCTGCATTTCCCTCTCAGCCTTTTCCAACATAAAACAAACATCCCAGCCGTAAAAGAGATCATACCTGAGCTGATCATACTGTGCATTCTTTGCTGAGCCAGGAGCTGCTCTCTTCCGGCCACTCCATCTGAGGAAACACAGGAGTCACTCTCGTAAATCGTCTGCAGCATACTCCAGTCTCTCTTACTTCAGGTCCACAAGATTCATCACTGTGCTCAGTGCTCTGGTCCCAGGAGCTGCCCTGAATGGTCCTCCCTCCTCCCCGAGGAGAAACAGCGAGCAAGCAGAGGATCAACTTCCACAATGATTTCCTTTCTGCTTAGATGGACATACCCTTTCTAAAAAGACCTGGGCACCCCGCCTCCCCCAGTTACCAACCTGTGTGCAAGGCAGAAAGCCGCCTGGATGCTCTAGCTCGCTGGAGTTTTAGTTATCCTGGAAACTAAAAGCAGGTGGGCAACAGGAACGTGCTTCGGGGTTATTTCTTTGTAAGAATAAGTAGAAAAATATTAACTCTACCCACGGGGGTGGAGGAAGGAAGGAAAAAAACAAGTAAAACCTGGTGTCTAGCTGCCTGGATTGCTAGGGTTTCAAGGAGGGATCCTCACCCTGCCAGCGGCTGGCTCCGCAGGGTGTCCTATCTGTCGGTGTCTCTCCCTTCCCTTTCTCCGTCTCTCTCAGCTCAAGTTGGCTAAAGCTAGTGATAATCTATTTGCATATGAATCAACAACAGCATGGCCCACAGGCACAGAAATAGAACAATGGTCGGCCTGAGCCAAAAATAGGTCAAGCATGGCCGAGTGATTGGAGCCTGCATTAATGCATTTAAAAATACCCCAGCAAAGCCAGCTGTCCAGCCTCTATCTTTCAAACCATAATTCTCTATTGCAGGGCCTTAAAAGCAATTAACTCTTTCCTTCCTTAACCTGCTTTCCATACTGGGTTTTCATACTGGCATCTCACCCCCAAAGAAAGGAAATTAAGAAAAATAAAAAAAAAAAAGGAAGAAGAATCCTAACTCAGAGAGGGAGAATGCACACACATTTCATTTTATTTCTGTAGTATGTGTTTTTGGAAGAGAGAGCAAAGAAGTGCAGAGCTGTATTGGGTCTAAAATAATACTGGAAGCTTTTGCTCATAATGTGGTTTCTGCCTCACCCACGCACAGCAATCCTGGTGTTCTATTTTGGTTGCCTGTTTCTCTGGCTACACTGCAGTTGGCTGGGGCACTAGAAGCTTTGCTTCCTTCTAGTTTCAGCACTGACAGGAGATTTAGCAGAGGTAGTTTCTGAAAACAAGCACACGCCAGAATAAGAATTTTATGAAGGTCTGGCTTGTTTTTTTTTAAACTTTATTTATTTTGTCCATTTCACGAATCCTAATGTGATCTCAGACCACCTATCGATTTTATTGATTCCAGTTTCTACTATACTTAAAACAAAACCAAACTGTAGCTTAGAAATGCAAAGTTTTCCTCTAAGTCCCTCAGACCAGATTGAATTCACCTGTAAAAGAAAATGTTGATACTTTCTTATGGGCACCAGATAAATGAATACCTGCACCTATAAGTCAGTCAGTGTGTTCACTGTCCAAGTACAAATGGCCAGTTTCCATTTATACCATGGATGGCTAAATAAAGACCTCAGGTGTGTATAAGAATAGCTTGTCAATACAGTTAGTTGCAGGCCAACACACATTACAGACTTCACATATGAGGTAAACGAAATGCACAGCCTCTCAAAAAGTTTTGATAGTCTCTGGCATGCATTCATAATGATCTCTCTGCACGCATTAGCATCAGCATCCTGAGATGGGGCACCGACATCTAGCCAGTTCCAAGGACAAACACAAAAGTGATGCCCCTCATCATGTAAGTTCTACTTGCTCCTCTACAGGAATCACAACCAGCAGCAGCAGTGACAGGGAAAGGAAAGGCCCCAGAAGGTACAGGAATCCCATCACATCCAGGCTGTGGGAACCAGGAAAAGCAATGCCAGATGCACAGGATTCTGACAAAGGGAAGACAGGGCAATAATGGCTAAATTCTTTTCCCTATGCAGATTAATTTCTATCCATTACTCCTCTTCTGGAAAATGCATTATTTGGACAGCTAACTCACAAAAGTGTTAAAACAGTTGTTTTTAATGTCCTTGCTTTTAAGCAAAACAACAAAACCTTAGTGTTTCTATCAGTGGAAAATATGTTTCATATTTCCTTTTTTAAAACAGGTATATGTAAAATTCAAGAGACAGAGATACTGTCATCTAGTAGGGATGCCACACTTGCATTGTTGTCACACACCACACTTTAGGCCTCGTGGAAACAGACTGTTCACAATGGTTATGCAGGAGTCGCTTCAGTTCTTTCACGGGAGCTGCTTCCTTGAGGGATACAAAGTTTTTCCCTTTATTACTGTTTCATTCTTTTAATATTCATTCTATAACGTTTTGCTCTATAGGCTATGTCTCCATTTATTATTAAGGTTTCACCAGAAAACTTTTTAGACATCCATTCACAGAGATTGTAAAATGACTTTCTATAGTTAAAACTTTTTGTAAAGTACTTATAAAAACAAATCATCACACAGGGTTAGCTAGACACTGAGTGTATACATCTTAATTAACTGCAGCTATTCTGAAGCCATGGAACCTCACATTGGATCTGACACATCCACTATTAATCATATTTTGTGGATTTATTCGATAGAAAAAATACCCTAAAAAATTAAAGACAGAAGTAAGCCTAGAAAAACAGCTATTCAGCATTACATTAAATTCATTAGTCCCTGCCCATGCTTTAGTGTATGTGTGTGTGTGGATTTAGTCTTTCTTCACCACCTAACATTTTTCCTTTTCTTTCTACATGTTATATTTTATCCATGTGTATATTTGTTACATATGTACATATTGTAATAGGATAGATCTCTCTGATACTATATGACCTCAGTTAATATCAATTACTACATTTCTTGAATGTCAGAGACTTCGATGTTCTTCAGTAAACTCCTGTATCCATCACAGCCCTTCTTTGTTTTTTTTCTACTTTCTTCCAATAATAATGACCAAACAAGTACAAATCTCTTTGCTACTATATTTGAGGTTAACGTGTGCTTTCCTATAATTATTTCGATTTCTGTTTCCTGTAATTTGAGGACTTATGCAAGTTTTGTAATCAATAAACCTTTTTGTGTTGAACTTTTTTCACAACTCCTGTTGCAGTTTGAGCATGGAAAGTGTCCCCAGCAGGCTGGTGTTGTGGGCTCGTGGCTGCACGCTGGAAAGCACTGGATCAGGTGGAGCTGGGCTGACAGCTGTCAGTCACTGAGGCATGCTCTTGCAGGATGTGCCTCAGAGCTGGTTCCTTGACGGTTCCTCGCTACTTCCTGACTGTTCTGAGGTGAGCAGACCCTGACACATGCTCCACCATCCATGATATTTTTTGCTTCAGGTCCAAATCAAAGAATCCAAGTAACCTTGTATCAAATTCTCAGAAACTACAAGCTGATATAAAATCTTCCTCATATATTTAAATTAAAATAGAAACAAGGTTGCTTCACATGCCAATTCCAGGTCCCTCTCCCTTTCCCTCCCCTCCTCCCATGCCCTCCCACCAAGCCCCCCAATATCCCCTCATTTCCCCAGGGAGGGTGAGGCCATCCATGGGGTTGTCCATAGTCTGTCATTTCATCCAGGGCAGGGCCTAGACCCTCCCCCAAGAATTCAGGGTAAGAATGCGTCTCTCATTGTTGGATGGGAGTCCAAAGTCCATTTGTATACCCGGGAAAAATACTGATCTCTCTTTTTAAAATCTCTCAAAGATTTGTCATTACGTCAAAAAAAAAAAAACCAAAAACAGAATAACAGAACTGCTGTTTGTATTTATTTCTTATAATCCTTCATATCTTTAAATCTGTTTTTTCCTTATAGTAATATAGTGATTACTACATTATAATTATACCTATTTTTCCATAATTTTGTGTATTGCTTCTCTAGGGATGGATATTATTCCATTCTGTAAATGTATCAGATGCTCACTACCCATCCATTGGTTGATAGATAACTAGGTTGGTTCCATTTCCTTGCTATTGTGAATACAGCAGCAACATTCATGGGGTTCAGATTCTTCATAGGACGGCCCAGAGTTCTCTGGGTATACTCCAAGGAGTAAAACAACTGGGCGTGGGGAATCTGCTAGTTTTATTTTTAGTTTTTTGAGGAAATCTCCAAATCGATTTCCAAAATGGTTGTTTTAATCTAAACCCCCACCAACAGTGAATAGGGGTTCCTTTCTTTACCAAGTCTTTCCAGTATTTGTCAGAATTTGATGAATTTCATTCTGGCCAGGGTGAGGTAGTATCTTAAAATAGTTTCAACTTGCATTTTCTTAAAGGCTAAGAATATTAAATACTTTAGAAATTTGTTGCCATCTATTTTCATTTCTTCTTTTGAAAACTTTCTCTTCTATTTATTAGCCCACTTGTTGGTTGGCAGTTTTCTTTCCTTGATATTTAATTTCTGCAAAACTTTTTTATCTAAAATTCTGCATACTAGCTCTTTGATGTATAGCTAGAAGATTTTTTTCCCATTTTTCTGGCTGTTTATGCTCTGATAATGTTTCTCTGTTCTTGCAAAAACTTTATTCATGAAGAATGGAAAACTATTTCACATAAGTTCTCAAAAGAAGAAATAAATTCAGGCAATAGATAGCAAAAAAAAAAACCCCCACAGTCATTTAGCATCCTTTGGGATCAGGAAAATGCAAATTAAAATTACATTGGTCCCATCTTACCTCAGTCAAGATGGAAGTCATCTAGACAACAAATGACAAAAAGCTAATAAGAAAAAGGAAACCTCACACACACACCTCAGGTGGAGAATTAAAACTATATCCAGCGTGGAAACCAGAGCTATTGTCTGAGCTCCTACACTACTGTTGCTATGAGCCAGAGGACTACAGGTAACCACCAGGCACAGCCATCAACACATGAAATAAAGGGGTACGCGTGCACGATACAATTTATCCAGCTACAAGGAATGAAATGATATTTTCAAGAAAGTTTATGGATCTGGATATAGTCACCTTAAGTAAAACATGCCAGACTAAGACAAATATTTCTCATAGGTGAAGTATTAATTTAAATGTATATGCACACATATGGCATCAAAATAGGAAGGACATTGTGGAACGGGAAGATGAGGTCTAAAGAATAGAGGGACATTGTATACCCTGCACATCATAAAGCAGTGGAGGGAAGAACTGGGGAGAGGAAAGACCACTCCAGGGGGTAAAGAAGGGCAAGAGAGGGATAAGGAGGAAGAAAGCTTGATGGTATATGTGAAGATGTCACAATGAAATACATTTCTCTGCTAACCAGTGCTCCCCATCCATCCATGCAGCCATCACCGCTGCTTTCTCTGTGTCTGTGTCTCTGTCACAGAACCACCAGTTCTAAAGAGACTTGAGTAAGGCAACTCAAGTAGTTACCTGCATATCTCTACTATTCATGTTCTCTAGTTACAATATTTCCCCCTTTATCAAAATGATACTGTTATTTACACTTTCAGAATAAAGTTCAAACGAATTATTGACTAAAACAGAATAACTGTCTACATGTTTCAGAGAGTTTTTATCAGAATATACAAAAATTGTGGAAAATATGTATGACGAATAACACAATCATAATATTGGCATAATAGATGCCTACACATCTTTCGTCACTTCATGTTTAATTACACCCACAAACCACAATTGTCAAAAAGATATCTAAGCTTTTTATATGCTAAAATAGAACAAAACTCCAGAATAGCAAGTAATTATCCTATTTCTCTGAGGTTCCAGGAAACGGCTGTCCGATGTGTCTTCAGCTGGACCACATGTGACAACTCACTGCCACAGAATGTATTTATTCAACCTTCCTTTTCGTTAGCCGCCATACCCTCCATTAGAGTGCTGACAACAACAAATTATTTTTGTGTGAAATATTGGGCCCATCATATGACAGCTGAAGCTTGTCTCCCAGAAGAAATAT